TACGCCAGTGCGGTAGGACCGCTCAGGGAGAGGCTGCTAGAATTCTCAGGGCCCGGAATAGGCTGCCTAAGAAGAAGACGAAAGATGGCGATCTGCTACTTCAACGCAAAGACGCTTGCATCCGAAAGCTCACATCGAAGACCTGATGATGACAAGCCAGGAAGGATCAAGTACGACGTCATCGGAGCTGACAAGAGAGAAGGCACCACCGCTACACGCCGTTTCGATACTGGAGAAGAACTGTTCCTTGGAACATGCGACAGCAGAGCCGTTGGCGGGGTGGGTGTCCTTCGTCAACACGCACTTGGCCCATAAACATCGATGTCGTACGAAAAGCCTTACGACCCGAATCGGACGTTTGAGGTTGAGAAGATGTGGTTCAACTCCTGCTTTGAAAATCTTCATCGCCTACGCACCAACATGCTACGACGAGGAGGAACACGAAGCATTTTATATGGAATTGGAGAAGTTCTACAGGAAGATCATACCTTCTCAACGTGTCCATGCGTCGGCGACATTCAACGCCAAGATTGGCCGAGAAGAACGCTGAAGAATTCACATCGGTACTCACGGAATTGGATTGGAATGAGGCAGGGCCGAACAGACTGTCTGAGTTTATCATGTCGACCCAACACATCATGGTACTCGCAGTTCCAGAAGCCCTCTCACCTCGTTGGACTTGGGAGTCACCTGATGGACAGTTCCATAACGAGATAGACCACATCATCTTCAATCGAAAGTTTTGCCTGACCGACCGTCGCTTGTTGTTCCGAAGTTCTACACGGGGATTGGACCATCGTTCTCCTCGCGCAAAGTTCCACTTTTTCGATGCGTGTGAGGAGCCTCGAAGTTCAGGAAGCGAAGCCCAGCGACAGTCATCAACTGGGATCACTTCACTTCTCTTCAGCTTATGGGAGGATTCCGTTATCGAGAACATCGACGACGGAATATCATCGGCTCGTTGAACACCTTCACGAGAGTGGCAGGAAGGCAGAGAGTTTTACAAGTCACCAAGAGGACGTCTGTCTACGGAAACTCTCGCAGCTGATTCGCCAACGTGGCATGCGCACGAGCTGCAGGCAATCACCAACTCACTTCCGAGCTTGCGAAGCTATGCAGAGAGTCGATAAAGGAAGATCTCAAGGAGCGAAAGAGCAGCAGCAGTATTAGCTTGAAGCTGCAGAGGCTAGGAGGAGCATCCGCAATGCCCGCCGAAGCTTTGCCAGTACAAGACCAAGGATGACCCCCCTCGACGTCCAGATGGAACAGTCACTGCATCCCGAAGGGCAATGGAGAAAGTCATCACGAATTCATACTCGGAATCTCTCATAGCCATGTCCATCTGCCCACTTATCAACTGCAACAGGATGATACGTCGTCCCCGCAGTTACTCTCTTCCGAAGTCCGACACGCCATCAAGTCGGTGAAGAATTGTATAGCGCCCGGTCTCGACAGGGTTAACGGAACATCTGAAGAATGCGCCGCAGTCATCATTCATCAAAACTCTAGACTTCGCTCTTTCACGCGCTACCTGTCGAAACTGAAGGGTACCCACTCCGTGGAAAACCAGCAGGACCGTGTTGCTGTACAAAGAAGGGAGACCCGGACGACATTGGCAACTATCGCCAATCTGCTGCTGTCTGTAATCTACAAGCTATCACTCGAGTCCATCCTTAACAGGATCGGCAGAATTACTAGATGAAGGACAGCCATGCGAGCAAGTAGGGTTCCGAAGAGGGGTTCAGCACGATCGATCATATCCACACGGTAACAAGACTCATTGAAGTTTCACGAGAGTACAAGATGCCGCTTTGTCTCACGTTCATCGACTTGAAGAAGGCCTTCGACTCTGTGGAGACAGGAAGCGGTCATCGAAGCCATTGGGCAACCAGGGCGTCCCTACTCAGTACAGCAAATTTCTTCGCGAGCCTCTACAGCAACTTTACGACCAGAATCTCATCGTTCTACAAGGACGTCACCATTTGACGGTCAAGAGAGGTTCGACAGGGCGACCCATCTCGCCCAAACCTTCAGCGCCGCTCTCGAGAAACGTCATGCGTCAACTGGAATGGCGAAGACATGGGAGTGAAGGTGACGGCCGGCAACACACCACCTTCGTTTTGCTGACGGACATCATTCTTATAATGCCGAACATCGAGCAAGCGGAGGCGAATGGTGGCCGATTTCGACTGCCTGCTATGGTAAGGTAAGGTCTACAGCTGAACCTAACGAAGACGATGTTTATGAAAACGGATTGGTGCCTGATGCACCATTCACGCTCAACGGAACGAACATACCGAATGTCTCAGCTACGTGTACCTAGGTCGGGAAATCAATTGATGAACGATCCAGCTCCAGAGCTGAGCAGGAGGAAACGAGCGGCTTGGGAGCGTATAGAACATGACGAGTAGTGAAGAAGACGAAGAACCTCCGCTCCGTGCCCCCTCTTCGATTCGCTGTCCTTCTGCCCTAACCTGCCCTCAGAGACTTGGACTCTGCGCAGGCAGGCAGTGCAGCATGCGGTCAAGCGTTATCCAACGCGCTGTCGAGAGGACGATGCTAGAGTAACCCTACCACGCAAGTGAGAGGGGAATCCGGATGCGAACTACGCAACGATCGAAGATCAGGGACGCTACTTTTCGAGGAATCGAAGATAAGGTGGGCGGACACGTCATGCGATTTTGCGATGACCGTTGGACACAGAGGGTTATCCGACTGGAATCCCTCGGGACGTCAGAACGAAGACCGGGACGAACGCCGGCCCGATGGTCAGACTTCTTCACGAATGCTATGAACGAAAGGAATGGAGGACATCGTGTCCCTCGAGCGAGGAGCTGTCAGTGGCCAACTCTTGCACGCGACAGGGAGAATGAGACGTTGCTGGCGCCCGCTCGAGCAATTCGATGATCAACGGGACGACAGGTGATACAGGTGATTCAGTTATGCTATGGTGTGATCAATTATTCAAATGCGAAAAAATCAGGAAGCTGCCTACGCTCAAAGAGTAAATGACAAGGACAATTGTGCGCGCACTGCGCGGTCCTGTGCGGCCTGCGGAGCGCGAGCCGCATGTGCGTCGCGTTATCGTCGGTGCGTCAAACGTCGCACTCGCCTCCGGTTCCAGGCATTGCTCCATCACTTTCTCGAAAAGAAAATTTGGATGTTTGATGTTGTAGAGAAGACAGTAAACGGATTGAAGAGCTTCCGGAATTATGAGTCCCTGGAGAAATGGGGTTTATTTACTGCTTGATCAGTCGATAGAGTTTTCTGGCTTTTCCAACAGGTTAAAAGCTACTACACTAGCGAAGCCAGATATTAATGAGTGCCATGTTGGTCAAGACTCATCATTTAGGAGGTGTTCTCGTGCTTGGTGAGCGATCAGTGACGTTTGTTTCGGATGCCCACCTTTTCAACAAGGATGAAGAAGTTGATGTACCACAGTCATTCACTTTTGAGGACCATCCCCTAGACGTTGCCGTTTTCGACGATACCAGTGAGGTAGCTGTTGCATCACGACTAACATATTGACCTGGAGTAATGTATATTTATAGGTAGCGCTTCTGTTTGGAACCTATTCAGTGGCCCTCTATTGTTACGAAGTATCACCTCTGAAACTCACAATGCAAAGTCACGTCCGATCGGAGAGATTTGCACTGATGTACGTTGAACTCACATCCACGCTGATTCTGTATAATTTACACATAGTTTGCAAATATAATTGCAAATATGAGATGGGCCAGCACTGGTACCTTTGTCGCGGATGATTTGAGAATGCAGAATCACAAAAAAATTTCTTCTGGAATTACAGTCTGAGCACCATCTTTGTCGGATCTGCATGGGGTGATCTGGTTGTTGTGGCTGGTACCATGGATGGAGAAATTTTAGTGACTGTTCCATCTACTGGTCCAGCAATACGAGCAAAATTCGAGGGTCACCGAGTATGTTCACGAATGGAAAGGGTCATAGTGAATCATAGTTCACAGTCACTGTAATTCAGGGAATGATTTTTGGGCTTGATCTGTATAAGGGTAGGCTGTATTCAATTGCTGACGATCGACGCCTCTGTGTGTGGGATGCGAACATTCTGGACAGCGTACCAACTGATTCGGCTGGCGTAAAGTTAGTTGAAAAGAATATTTCTCGTTGTGAATGTTTTGCTGAGTTTCCACAGTAATTATAGAACATTTATTACTAGAGTTTTACGAATACTGGATGCTCAATTTGGTCATGCCGCTCGCCCTTACTCGATATGTCATGATAGCGATGGAAATGTCTACACCGCCGGTGACGACGAGGTCCGTCCATTGTGCATTTTGGCTAAAGAAGGTTATCAGGGAATAGTGTTTATACGCGATAATTAGGAAGAGTTCAATGAAAACGAGTGACTGTGTCACGATAAGGAACTGGTGCGGAATTTTATGCTGTTTTCAGTAGTCCCAGTTCCCAGGCGTCCTCCCCCACAGTAGTAAAATAGGCCCGGAAATGGAGATTGAAAGAAAGACTTTAGACTAGAAGGGTAAAAAGATGACTAGAAGAAAAAATAATGGCTTTTTTCAAAGGAAAGGTCTATTCTTTCAGATATGGAAAAAATATATAATATAAAAGAATGAAGAATGTGACCGCAGAAAAGCTTTGTGATCATGCTAAGGAAGTACCCTCTCTTTCGAAAAAACCGAGAAGAGCGAAGGGTGGAGACCGCGCACCACAAGTGACGAGGGCCTCCAAGTAAATCTGGTAATGGTCCATAATGATAGCTGATTTGTGGTAAGTGATAGTTGTAATTATAATTAGTAATAACTGGTAAAGTAGTAGAACTAAAACAGGCTTATCATTTCATTGGCAGAAAACATTTACATTTTGTAGAGGCCGTCGTCACTTGTGGTGTATGGTCCACCCGACGCTCTTCTGGTTTTTTGAAAAGGCGTATTATATGTTCTATGTGATAGAAGTTGAATTAAAAGATTACCCGCCACAGGCACATTGGCACAAAGAAGCACACTACTAAAACTGTGGATGACGGGAAGCACATGCAACAACTAAAAATCGGACCAAAAATGTAATGAGCCGTTTTTTCGTGGAATAGTATGTCATCCGCCTACACATTTTCCCGTAACCTGGGATGCAGCAATTACAGAATCAGGATACATTGGCGATATTCTCTTTACGCGACGCCTCTTCATGCTACCAGATGCCACGTATGTTGCGGCCGCATTTTCGGCATCCCAGGTTACGAGAAACAGTATATGTTAGAGGTGAAAAAATACACGTATCGATCATGTGTATAGGTAGACATTCTCTAAAATACCTTCCTTGGTTGGATGGCCCTTGAGAGTTTCCAAAATCGAAGTCCAAGAGTCATCCATCAAAGGAGGTAGTGTATTTGTGTCTTAAAATGGCCAGAGTTGGTACACGTGAAATGTTATCTCCTACCTGCTATTACAATGTTTAGGTTATTTGTAAATGGATCGTGGAAGACAACCGCCTCAAAATGCTGTACCAAAGAGAAATTCGAGCCGGTTCGGTCCGAGCACTCCGCGTTATAGGAGCACAATTGGTACATTCAAGGGATAGGATTTTTTCCAATCATTTTATCCTACTTTCATGTCATATTTTCTTGATCGTATTAACAGCAAAGCAGATGCAGTAGATAACCTTGCAGATGTAATCCCACAAGTGAAACAAGTGAAACAAGTTCACTATGACACACACACTCTCACTTCACGTTCGCGACACTCTCACCATCTCCAGGGAAGTGGAGGACCTCAAATGGCAGTGCGACTGCTAGTCGTTGACAGGTCCACGGCGTATCCCTGAGCATTGGCTTCTCAAAACAACATCTCTGTCAGCGGCCATGAGCAGACGCATTTCTTCAAAAGAAGCTTGGTGCTTTCAGACCAAATCTAAGTGGAGAAAAATGGAACGAATTCTGGATTCACTACTGAAGGCCTATCTGTCAGAACGATTTTCAAGAAAATCACGCATGTGCCATAAAGAACTGTTCATGTAGATCCAACTGTTTATATCGCTTCTTATCATACCAGCGTTGTAGAAAATTATGGGGTTTGAAGACTGAAAAGTCGCGTTTCAGGGAAATGGCCTAAAAAAGTCATGGAGGAAAAAAGTGAAACACCGAGACGATTTTTTGAATGGGTGGTCATTTAGAAAAATTTTGATAGTTCTCTGGACTGTCGAAACTGAGTTGTAAGGGAAGGTTGCATGAGGTGTCCCACCAAGGGTAAACCGTCCGTTGGACGAAGTCCAACGCATGGCTCTCTAGCGTGTGAGAGTAATGTCGAGAGTGAACATACACACGGAGACACAGACGGCTCGCGCAAGGCGAGTGCGAATGTCGGCGCGGTGAGCGGTCAACGTAGGTCCAACGTAACGGTTGACCGTGGTCCCACCCACCTCATCTCAATATCAGTTCTTGTATAGGAGAAAACCTGCACATTTCTAAGCATTAGGGTGCGCCGAGCATGGGATGATACTGTTCCACGCAGAAGAAGTGAGAAGAAGTGCCGCCTACTTGTGTTAAATCCATCTGCTCCCTTGGCATGGCACGGTGTGATTATAGTCGCGTAACGTCGTTTTTTCATATATGTTTCCTTGCAGTATATCGCTTCTGGGAGCGGTGCACTAGCCACTGTACCCACTGATGAGCTTACGGAGGATTTCGAAGTCCGGTGTATACCGATAGCGAACGTTCGCGCTTTTGCCAGATTGCATGATAGGATTCATTGTCTGGAGGAAAACAGCTGGTGAGCTTGAATGTCAACTTTTGTTTTGGATACATGTGCTGTTCCGCTGAAGTACTGATTCCAGCGATGAACTTCATGAAGGCATCAGATCAATCGCAAGAAGTCCACTATATGCTTCCGCTCCTCTTATTCTCGCGCTTATTGGAGACACGTTTTGCCACTTTGTTATAGAACAACGTAAGTGAATGCTTGGTCTGCTTTAAGATACCTTTGATTCGATGTCGTGTTAATACCACGCTGAAGTCTGCATTTGTGACTCACAAGAGTACAGGAAATTAAACATCTAGTGCAGTTGGGACACGCGAGCAGTTTGATTAGTAGTATGGAAGTATTTGAATCAATTTCGCGGCAGGATTTCACCATTTCTAGAAGTTCACTGTGTACAGCTTGCTGTAAATATGATATTAAATGCAAGCTTTGGGATAAAATAGGTCTGGAACAGCGTTCACTAATGAAGCTAGGAGTTGGAGCAGGTCAACCGTCGTTCGAACTGTTCGAACGAAGGGGTCGCATTTGATCGGAAGGGGTCGCAATTTCGAGGACTGTCAGCCACAGGCGCGTGCGTGGCGTATCTGGGCAAGGATTGTTGTGCAGACCCGCATTAGATTCGATTATTATGCACAGAGAGACAGTTCTAGGCAAATTACGGTGTTTTCTTGAGGAATAGAGCAACAGTTGAATGCATCCCTATGAAAGGTTTGACTTCTCGCGGGCTGAAATTTAAGTTCTTCGGGCTGATTTTCTGAGGGCGATTCTTCCAGACAACGGTAAAACATATAGGAAGCCGAAGTCTCGTAGTCTTCAAAAAATGTCTTCGCCCTCCTAAACAAGTTCTTTGAAGAAGTTATTAATGCTGAAATCTCAAAAACTCGCATGGTGCTGCTCCAAAACCTATGAGAACAAAATGTTCGAACGTGTGATTTTCTCGGAAAATGGATATTTGAAAAACGGTTTGGTGCTTGTTAGAAAGAGCAAATCTCGTTCTTTCACCCCATGATAAAAGTGCATCACAGAAATGAAAATGAAGTGAGTTATACCCGCTTAAAGCCCAAAAACTCGCGATTTCAAAAAAAGTGTTCGGCAAAACCCCCCATAATGTTCGAGCGTGTGATTTTCTCAAAAAATGAGCTTTGAAAAACGGTTTGGTGCTTGTTAGAAAGGGCAAATCCTGTACTTCCACCCCATGATAAAAGTGCATCACAGAAACGAAAATGAAGCGAGTTATGGTTGCTGAAAGCCCAAAAACTCGCTTTTTGCACGAAAAATGTTCGAACGGGACAATTTTTTGAAAAAGGGGACAATCACCAAACTTTTGGTACTGTTTTGTTAGAAAATATTTGAAGTTTCTGAAACGTTTTACAGATTTCCAAAATGTCGCATACGAAAGAATTTATGATCCTTCAAAGATGAAGGTGCGCCTTCTCAGAATTTTGGGTTTTCCACTTCTAACAGAAGTACACTCCGGAGAGTTAGGCAATCCTTGTAGTTTTCTGAAAGCGCACCTCAGGCACAGTTAAAATCTACCTCAACAAGTCAAAAAAATACGTCCCAAGAAAGTTATTACCCTCTAAAATTTTTTCTTCGCCGCGTCCCGTTCTTCCAGCGCCCGGGTGATACCTGCCGCGCTCCAAGGCTGACGCAGCGATGCAGACGCTGTCTGCGGCGGCACAGACGCTTCCTGGAGCAACGGATTCATGTCTAGCACTCTTATTAACAAAAACAGGGGGTCGCAAAAATCCCGGAAATGTTCGAACGTGACGGTTGACCCTGGTTGGGAGTGGCTTGGGAAAGAACAGAAAGCAAGAAAAATTTCCTGCCCGACTGAGAACCCGCTCCATTTCAGCCGTATTCCATCTTGGGATAGAGAAGAAGGTGGAGTGACAACCGATAGTGCAAGGAGGGGCTTGCGGTCAAAGGAGTGGACTGCGGGTTGAGCGAGCCCTTAGCGCCTCAGTCGCACACTTCAAGCTACACAAGGGACGCGACAGGAACTTTTGTAACCCTGCCTACTGCGCCCGGGTATTTAACAGGTGGGTAAGTGCAATCCCGGAGCGTGCCTTTAATTGAGACCGTGACGTTTTCAAAGACAATTCACCAGAGTAGCCGCAAAAGCTAGAGATTTTTCATCCATCTTTGCGAAACATATTGCGAATTTGCAACTAATGGAACGAACCACCTTTGTGAATTAGGTGAATTCATTTACGCTTCAGCCATTGCCCAATTAGAGCGGAATTTGATACTTGTTTGTAGTCATTAACTGAGGTCCATTACGACCAGTTAAGCGATTCTTAGCTTGAGGTTTGGTTTCAGGTGTCGTGTGGGCTAGGTGTGAGTTTAGCTCCCATGTCCTCTCCGTGACGATATGCGAAAATTTCTCCTTCGTATACAGTACTGATCGCGCCGGCGTGAGTTTTACTTTTCTTACAAGAATATGTATAAAATGCGAGTCTCCTGATGTAATAAACGCTAGAAGAATAGCGTCTTACAGGTTCTACTCGACGTCGTAAACAAAAAAGTAATCGCAAGATTCGGTTTTTCTGCAATACTGTCGAGATATGGAATAAAATCACACGTCAGGATAACTTCGATGACTGTAATGAGCAACGAACAATCAGTGTTTATCATGCTCGGGACTGTGTCTGGTCATGTGTTTTTCACAAGTTTTGCGAGCGGATGTGCTGATGTATCGACGATGTTCAGCATGCGGGAGGTTTAATTTTTTGGTGTTCTTGCTACATTTTCCCAGCACTACCAGAGTCTCTTCAAGAGTGAGACGCAAAAAAATCTGAAACAGAACACGAGGATTGGGGCGGCGCAGCCCTGGAAATAAATCCTACTTATTGTGAAGCGCTTCGTCTGTCGTCTGCCGTGTGTCTGTCGTATGTTGTTCTGTATGTCTCTCACGACATTCCCCAGCTCCTCGGGATCCGCCTGAAGGGATCGGGTCAAGTGTGGAATGGGTGGGCCAGATCTCATGAAGTACAATACACACATCAGCTAAGCGGAGCCCCGCCCACAGAGGGCGTGGCGTGCGTCGAAATGAACTGTAATGACGACCAAGATTTCAGGTTCTGTTACAAAACAGCTTTAAAACTGGGGAAAAAAGTAGATAAAGGTGTGCATTGGTAAGTCAGATCGAACTAGGGTGACCCAACCCTGGTGGGCGGAGCGTTCTCCAAAAAACAGTGCTTTATGAAAAACTTCATAACTCGGTTGGGAAAAGCCTGCAGAGCAGAAAACAAATTGGTGTAGGGTGTCTAAGGTGTTTCCTGCATACATGACGTGGGCAGAGGTCTTCCCACAATGGGCGGAGCGCGCTCTGAAGTGTGCAGCGTTTTCTACAGGTCCTCATAATTCGGGCTGGAGAAGTCTTAATGAGTCGGAAAAAAGTGGATAGAGTTGGGTGGAGGAGTGGAGGCCATCTGCTATCGGTGGGCTGGGCATGTCCAAAGTGGGCGGAGTTTGCGACGGAAATTCATAACTCTGTTCCAAGGAGTCCCGGAGGCTGGAAAAAACGTGGATAGAGGTGGGGAAGAAAAAGATAGGGGACATGCAAAGAAATAGGCTGAATTCACCACGAGGTTAATAAATCGGTCCGGAGGCAGTCCGAGGCCGGGACAAACGGACAGTTGGTGGAGGAAGGAGGAAAGGTTAAAAGTCATTGGTGGATAAAGCGCGAGGCATTCGGATGGAATTTAGTTTGAAAGTTAAATATTCGAAGGGCCAAATTCGAAAATTCACGCCGCACCATCACCACATCATTGCCGCAGAACTGCGCGTGCACGCAATACGTGCGGCGCCAACCGGTAAATATGAGCAAAAAAAAATGAAATAGAAATAAACGGGTGGGCGACGATCTTAGCCACTTTTTCCAAGGTGGGCGTTTGCGTCATCCAAAATCACCTGCTGCAAATCATCATCAGAATGTGTATCTGCCACGTTAGCCATGGCAGAGTCAAACCTGCGTTGCGCAGTTTCCAACGGCACGTTGCGCAGTTTCGCCGATTAGACACGTTTCTCTCGCGCGGACATTCACCTCCGCATGCTCGAGCCGTCTTGTCTCCGCCATACAGCGTGCGTGAGGATCTCTCGACGTGCCGTTGCGAAGTCGCAACGCAGGGTTGACTCTGGCCAGGGGCGGTGTCAGAACTGGCCATTCCGATGAATGGCGGGGTACGAAGCATGGTCAACCGTTCGTTGCGCAGATTTCAAAGTTTTTTACGACCTCCTATCAGCTATTGTCTTTTACATATTTACGTTCAATAATGATAGAGCCATCTAAAATTTGTTCGAAATTAAAGTTCGTAAAGTTTCTGAAAATTTGTTCAGATAGAAAACGTGACAGATTTTATGGCGAGTTCAGATATCGACACGAAAATCCATGTCGAAACTTTGCTTCTAACAATAAGGTTAGTAGTTGCAGTGGTATTTGAGAGCTGTGCTCCTTTGCTACTTCACTATGCCTGGGAACCTTCGAATTTAGTGACTGGTCTTTGAGCTTACAACCCCAGTTCCCACCCCTTCTGTTCACCCACCCTTCGTGAATCTTTGCACAACGGACGGTTGGCCTGGTGGCAAGAGTCAACATGTGAAAGAAAGGGACTCTTGCTAATTCCCTATACTCTCGAAACGCTACCGCACAACGAAGGGGTCGTATTTGGTCAGTGGATGAAGGGGTGTCGTAACCTCAAGTACCAATCACAAAACTTGAAGGTGCCAAGGCATGGCTAAGTGGCGAAGGAGAACAGACTTTCAACTACCACTGCGATTACGCACCACAGACGTTTAAAAGGCGCACCCTAGAGCGAGATTTCTTAGTAAAACATGTCATATTCCAGTGAACACAAGCGAAAAAATTTTTCCAGAGAAACTCCCATGCTTCTAGAACAAAACAAGGTGGAGGAAAGTGCAGCGAATTTAGCTGTTGGCCTCTGGAGTACAGATAGAAACCTATGGCAACAGGAAGATTTTCCTTTCAAGATGATCTGCCATGTACTATGAAGACTAGATCTTGCTGATTTCAACGGTTTTTCCGCTTTTCAACGTACCGAATTGAACAGTTGACGACATCGCGTGTTTTGCGCTTTTGCACCGCGTGGGACAAGAGCGATTTTGCGAGCGCGGCCGCCGCAAACCAAATCCATGGATTTTATTTTGTAAATCGGTAATACTTAGATGCGATGAAATGTTTCCAAGGATGTTCCATCTGTCTAGCTTATCAGGAGTTACAGTAATGGAAGTTTGGCAGACATGACCTGTTAAGGCCATGAGAAGGGAAATTTTACTTAATTTCCCTTTAGTGGTTCCAAAATTAATATGGACGTGGTTGTTTCAGTAAAAACACATATCTTTCCGTTCAAATAGTTTTGTATTCGCTTCAAATATTCTTTTTATCGGCATACCTGCGTTATTGAAAAGAAAACGGGAAATGAATTTAACGGGCATATCCGTAAGGTCTGGAAAACCTCTGCCGAACTAAAGGATATTTGGCCTTTGTGAACTATGTGGTTTTTAAATATGCTAATGTATGACCTACAGAATGAGTTCAAAGACCTTGGGAATAAGTTGCACAAGCGCAAGAAAAAGGGGTGACTTGGGTGGAACGCGTTACCGCGTCACAATGTCCCACGTGGTGCGCAAAGTGGGACGCGTTACCGCGTCACGGTGTTACCGACGTGTTAAAGAATCTTATGGCCATTTTTAGGTTGAAAACTCGTGTTTTATAGGAATGGCCTAACCCTTTCCGGACCGCGCACTTTTGCCATGGCGGGCGTGTGTGGCCGGCGCCTTTTCATGCTCACCGCCGCGTCTGCGAGGCGAACATAAGTGTAATAAATTTGACCTGCATTTCCAATAACACCATTATTTTGTCCAGTTTTTGTGTTTGCTACATCTGAACGTATCTATGTGGTGTTGTATAAAAAATATGATAAGGCCATAAAAAGGGTGGCAATAATGAAAATTGTTCAAAATAAGTTGTAGGGGGGATAAAGGGATCGAGGAGGTCCGAAACGTTTGTATCATTAGCATCAGTTACGAAGTGTACGCGATGGCATAAATTATGTTGTAGAAAGGGTTTTCAAGTGATTTATACCTGTTTTATCTCGGCTCCAAGTGGAAATTCATTTAGTTTTTGGTTATTTTAGGAACTAGTTTGAGATTGAAGTCTAGGTTTTTCCATACATACGACATGAGTATGTTACATAGACATTTATCAAGATAAAACTTTTTTTCGAAAAACTGAATCTTCGAAAAAATTAGCCCTGACACTCCATGGATGTCAGGCGGTCCGGAAAAGGTTAAAAAAAACATCAGAAGGAAGAAACCGAACAACGCGACGATTTTTCGATAGATTGGTCAATCAGGAGAATTTTGATATTTTTTCGAAAGTTTGTCAATTTTCTAGTTTTTAATTAGCCTTAAAGATCTGTAAAAAGTTAAAAATGAAGGAAGGTATGAACGCTTGAGTGTTGAAAAACACCGTGTGCACAAGAAACGGAACAACGGGACGATTTTTTGAAGAGTTGAACATTTGCAACAGTTCAAAAACTTTTTAGAAAGAAAAGAACTCGTGTTTCCCGAATTTTCGTATACCATATCATAAGCCCGCTTTTGAAGAAAGATCCAATCTTTTGATCTAGGAGGTTGTATCGTATCTTAATTGCTGCACGGTCTACATAGTTATTCATTTTTTTACAAAGGAGATTTGGAACTTCGAACAGAACTTGGTAGGTTTCCGGAAGCAGAAATCTCCGCGGTTACTACCATGCCTAGGTTTACGCAGAAGTTTGGAAAATATTTCTATTCAATGAGTAGAAATTCATGCTACTTCGATTCCCGTCCTCTGCGCGAGACAAGGCGCGCGGACTTACACTGTCCACCGCCTCTCCATGTCGGTCACGGCCAGTGATGGGCATGAAAATACAAAGAATCAGTGATAAAGATAGGACGTCACCCGGAAGTGACGCGCAAAACCCTCGCCCTTTTGTGGTCAGTATGCGAATGCTACCGAGGAGGGAACGGCCTCGGCCAAAGACTAGTTCGAATTGGAACTGTGTATTCAGGGTCGCTAACTGGAAGGTCCCGAGAGGTCGCTGTTCTGATGACGCGCAGAAAAATTTAAGTCCTACGCCTTCAGGAGACGCGATGGAAAGGGGTCAAGGCCAGTCGCTCAAAGACCATGTCTCCTCTGTGAACAGGATTAGCGAGCGGATAATGGCTGTGAGGATAGACACGAAGGAGGGGTATTGGTCAATACTGTCAGTGTACGCTCCGCAGACCCGATGCCCCGAGGGTGAGAAGGGCGAGTTCTACCTAAGGATTGACGATGCCATCAGAACTTTTCCGGAAGGTGACTACCTCACCATAGCAGGTGATGTGAATGGGCACGACGGCAGCGACAGAAGAGGTCTTGAAAGGGTGCACGGAGGTAGATGAATAGGAGTGAGGAACGCCGAGGGAGAGAGGGTCTTGGACCTGGGTAGTGCCCACGATCTGGCAATCTGCAGCACGTTCTTCGCGAAAAGGGAGACTCAGAAGTTCACCTACAGCAGTGGAGGGAGACAGATGGAAATCGACCATGTACTGGTAAAAGGGTAAAGGTAAAAGATCGTCCCTCGAAACTGTGAAGGATATCAAGGTATTTTCTGGCGAAGAATTGGCTCCTCAGCATTAGCCCCTCTTGGCAGACATAGCCATAGACCTGCCCAAGAAGAC